TAAAAGAAACTAAAGAAAAAGCATATATACTGCTATCTGTCTCTACTTTTATTTTGAGAGCCACTAATAAATTCTTTATATATTACGAAAACTTAACTCTCTACCGCTATTTGTAAATCTTGGAAGTTATCTTATCGGAACTTTTAAATATTCCTTTAGCTAATTTACGTAAAATATATTTTCAGCAAGATGGGGCTCCCCCTCACAACTTAACTTCCAGCGAAAATATTAGAATGTTGTTAAATTATTATATGATGGCCTCCTTGATTCCAGGATTTGTCCGTTGTCGATTTCTGATTTTGGGAATTTATATCGTGGTAACTAATACAATGTCGAACATCTGAAAAACGCTTTAATAATGCAAGCGTTTAGATATTTGTAATTTGCAAACCCGTCCCGGAAAAATATATTCAGAGATTCAGTGGTAACATTACAAAAGTAAAATATATGAATTCCAAATAAAATTTTAATATGTGTATGACTATTTTAGTAGATACCATTTTGATTTTTTGTTATTTATCACGGCCTACTAATAAGAAAATTATATGTTTTAAATATTGCAATAAATAGTGAAAATAAATATAGAGTGGTATATATTTTTGAGAAGCTCATAGCAAAGCGGATCATACGATTTATAAATATACAGGGTGTTCCCTTTGAAAAAACATAACTTTAATTCATATTTTCAAAAATATATATTTCGTAGAAAAACAGACTACGCCACGGTATTCTACGTAAAAAGTTCTACAAGAATCAGTTTTCACCTTCTCGATATCCTCCATAATACCGAAGATACGGGGGCTGTCCCAAATTGCAAAATTTTCGAAAGGACCCTGTAGCTTAGAAACGAAGAGGGCTACGAAAATTTTGTTGACAGCATCTTCCGTTTGACAAAAAATTGGCACAGGTTTGTGCATACCGCACCCTTCTATCTTCACGAATAACGGAGATACCGTATGATTTCAACCAAAATGGGACACTCTGTACAGTTTTTATAACGGAAGAACGACTGAACTTATTTTATTTATATCTGATTTGTTGGATTCGTCTCCGCCCCGAATAGCAGGAAGTTTATTAAAATATCGAGAAAATTAACGGAAAAAAAATTACAGAAAATTAATTTTTAAATAAATTAGGTTTGAAACTCCGTTATCTTCCACAACTGACGGCTCACGCAACTTACACTTTTAGCTTAATTGTAATAATATTTCCACTGAAAATTAATGAAATACAGTGGGAATATGGAATATTTAAATCGAGATAGATATCAAAATATATAGCAAATACTTGAATTAAAATGTAAATAAAAATATACAAATGACAGTCAAATCGATGGGTCTCGATCATTCCAGAGCATCCAGTCAATCAGTAATAGGATAGTGGAAGGGAAAAAACAAATGAAAGCTTTAACTTATGGATAAAAATAATAAATTATTAATTACCCGGTAAAAACAACATACATGGTGGTCCGAATTGTATTCCGGAAACTTGGGCAGCATATTCTGCAGATAAAAATAAGTAAAAAAGTTTGTATGAATGTATGTCCTAAAATGCTTAGTTTCGGAAATACAGGATGTAGAAATTTCATTTTTATTTCGATTTTTTCCAAATAATTTATGAAGTAACGTCAATATTTGGATAAAAATTAGTGTCTGGGTGTTATGAGAAATTTGATTTTTATGCCAATATGACTCCAACTTGTAGAGGGCGCCACCTACATATTTTTTAACTAGTTTGAAGGATAATAACTTTTCATCTCTACCTGTATAAAACTAGTGAGTAAAAAAATATACATTTACGACGCTTTTTACGTAAAAAAGGTCTCTTGGTAAAAATCGATACGAGTAATAGTTTTCAAGATATTTGAAATTGAAATTATCAATACCTATCATCATTCACATAAATTAAACATGTTGACTAAATAGTTATTAGACTGAAGTCATAAATTTGAAATGTTTTTGTGCCAAATGTTCAACAGAAACTGTTTTATCATCATTTTTTGCAGAAAAATTTATGATAAAACATTTAAAAAAAGTAAAAAATTTCCCAAATTTATTATTTCAGTGAAATAACTATCTACTCAACGTGTTTATTTTTCGTCAATAATGACATGTATTTACTATTTCCATTCTAAATACCGTATGATCGAATAAAAACGGCGTCAACGATGGCTATGAAATGAAAATCGCTGTCATTTTATATGTAAAATTATATGGGAAATGTCATCGATCTTCATTTCCAAGCCAACTGGACGCCGTTTTTTTTCGATCATACGGTATCTTAAGAACGGTTGCTCGTAGCGATTTTTACAAAGAGATATTTATTACGTAAAAAGTCACAGAGATGTAATTTTTTTCACTCGGAAGTTTTATACAGGTACGGACAAAAAGTTATTACGCTTCAAAACTGTTAAAATACATGTAGGTGGCGCCCTCTACTAGTAGGTTCTAGGAGGAGTAGATACTATATAGGAGTCATATTGACATCAAAATCAAATTTCTCATGTCAAAAAACTCCCAGACACCAATTTTCATCCAAATATTGACCTTACTTCAGATATTATTTAGAAAAAATCGAAATAAAAATGAAACTTCTACACCCTGTATCACCGAAACTAAATATTTTAGAACATATATCTATACGAACTTTTTTACGTATTTTTATCTGCAGAATATACTACCGAAGTTTCCGGAATACAGTTCGGACCACCCTGTATAAAATTGATATGTTTCTTAACACTATAATTTTCAGTTTAATTAAAACACTTATGTATTTATGTGTTTTCATAACTTGGCATGTTACGATTTACTTTTTGTATATCAAAGAGCGTACAATTGGAAGCTTGGTTTATGGTTCTAAATAATAATGGTTGAAATAAATTTATATTATAAATAACGTTCAAAGAGTATAATATGTTTTTTTTCCGTACAGCATCAGCAAAAATTTAGTAAAATTATTCTATTATAAATATTTCGACGTGCATGGATAGAGATAACATATTTTTGTGAGTATTTCTAATATTTATTTTAATTATTGGAATAAGAATAGAATAATAATACGAGACTCATTGTCAGAAAGCATAAAAATTACAAAAGGCCTCAAGCAGGGATGTTGCCTATCTCCTATACTATTCAAAATATACCTGCAACAAGCACTAAAAAAATGGATGCTTAAGTGTAGAGGAATGGGAATCCCCCTAATAAATGAGGACACCCTATACACCCTATTTTTTGCGGACGACCAGATAGTCCTAGCCTAAGATCACGACGACCTTGAATATATGGCAAGGAAGCTGATAGAGAAGTATAAGAAATGGGGGTTGGAGGTAAATATAGCCAAAACTGAATGTATGACTGTAGGGGGGCCACAAGAGAACATAGTCTTAGAGGATGGAAGCGTGATAAAAAACTGCGACAAATATAAATATCTCGGATTAAAAATAACTAACGATGGAAAACTCGACGAGGGTATAAAAGATCGAATAATGCAAGGCAGAAGGGCAACATCTATGTTGAATGGTGTGCTGTGGGATCAAGGAATCTCTAAAACTAATAAGAAGAATATATATAATACGGTAGTGAAAAGCATAATAACTTACGGAAGCGAAGTATGGCAGTTGAAAAGCAGAACAGAGAACATGCTATTAGCGACCGAAATGGATTACTGGAGGAGATCTGCTGGAAAATCGAAAAGAGAACAAATAACCAACAACAGAGTAAGGGAGATTATGAGAGCAGAACACACAATTGTTGACGACATAAGAACAAAACAACTCATATGGTTTGGTCATGTGCAACGAATGCCCGATCACAGAATACCAAAACAAATTTTACTGTGGACACCTCGAGGCAGAAATAAAAGGGGTAGGCCGGGAGGTAGGAGGGTGTGGATAAAGAACTAGAAAATAGAGAAATACCTGTTGATCTCTGGCTAAATAGACAAGAGTGGAGGTTAGGTGTCGGAAAACGTCGTAGAACGTTCTGAACCGACTTATATATATATATTTTAATTATTGGTACCTTTAATATATACAGGGTGTGTCTTAAATAAGTGCAAATATTTTTAGGGGTGGTATATATCGACCCCAGAAATACGTCTATGAGGTTTTTCGCGAAAAAAAAATTGGACAATATTTTGGATTTTTTTTTTTCATTTTTAGTTAAAAAACATAATACCTCGATATTGTGACAACATAAGTAGTAGATTAAATTTACAAAAAAAACACCCAGAATAAATACAGTGGTTCTCAAAATATGAGCAAAAATGTAAGTAAATTAACTTAGTTATTTTGGACTTCAAAAACGGTAAAGAGAAAATATGTCTCTTTTATCGAGATCTACCAGCCCTGAAAATATTTGCACTTATTTAAGACTCAACCTGTATTTATTATAACGTTATTAATAACTTGTTTTATTTATTATTACATATTAACTGATAGAATAATTTGTCGAAATTAGTAATAAATACAATTTCAACAAATACTACATTTCCATTAATACCTTAAGACGCGGTCTCTTCAGTTATAAATAAATAACTTTTATCTAACAAATTCTAATAAAAATAATCTAAAAGATAAACAATCTAGAGCCTGCTATCTATAGGATATAACATTTGGGTATTTTCATACAAAATAATCCAAAAGATAACAATTTGGAGGACGGGCCGCCTACGGACCGTTAGACACTCCGTAGAGAAAGTGTTGCCAATATAAGATATCTGAAATCGAGATGGTTATATATGAAAAGTCTATGCAACAGACAGAGACAAAAACTGGGAATTTCAAATCGTTAGATTAAAAAGTGAGGTTATTATTATTCAGTTCAATTCAAAAAATTAGTAAAAATCTCTTTAAAGCATCTGCTGATTATTGGACCTTAAGAACCAAACGTTTAATTTGTTTAGCAAATTCTAATGGTTTTGACATCAGGATTGCCTGGATTCCAGGTCATTCCAATATCTTGGGAAATACAGAGGCAGATTTGTTGGCTAATATTGAAAAGATTTAAATATTCCGAAATCTATGGAGATGGATTCAATAGATATTTTTAATTCAATTAAAACTGATATTTTGTGTAATTACAAGGAAAATTGGAAATCTCGTATGAAAGGAAAAAAGCATGTGTATTTTAATACACAAACAATCTTCCCAGATAAACAATGGTTTAAAAATTTCCAGTATATAGATAGAAGACATATTACAACGTTAATTAGAATGCGTACAGGCCATTGCTTAAAAAAAAAACCATTTATATAAAATTAAAGTGAAGGAAGATCCATTCTGTGAGTGTGGCTCTGTTGAAGACCTAAATCAGATCTTTTTAGAATGTCCTATAAATTTTTTGTTTAATTTGGATTTATATCAAAAATTTATTGAAATGAATTTTCCTACTCCACTATCAATATTTACAGTTTTGTCTAAGCCAAGTGAAAAATTAATAGAAACTATTATGATATTTTTTAACATTAATAGAATTAAATTATAATGCTCAACTTTCTATTTTTTATTTTCTTTTTGTTTCAGTTTCCGAATGCAGTCTGTTTGTGTGACCTCTATCCTATGTGCCTTTGTGTGTGATATAATCTTCCTTTCAGCGCGTCATTTATATATTTAATAAATAATAATAATAACATTTTACAGTCACAGGTCACAGGTTACCTTCATAGAAGTTAGTTATATTAAAATTTACCCATTATACATTTTACTCAGATAAGAATCAGTGGCCTTGATATGGTTTAGAGCCAGTCAACATCTTGGTCACTCCCAAATTGAGCTGGCGGTTGCCTTGTAGCAGAGCCATCATAAAAAAAGAAGAAGAAGAAGAAAAACAATAAAATTCAACTAAAATATATTTTGTGTTCAACTCTGACCAGTTCTATTATGGTATACGTTAATTAATTTTACCTTTATGGAAAAAGGGAATCAGTTTCAACAGTAGTTGTGAAATAAATCTGTTGATGGAAGGCGATTTTTAAGAAATTAAAACAAGAAAAAAAGTATGTGTAAGTACTTAATTTATAATTTAATTATATGATATTACACTGTTATATTTATTATATTAACATTTTAGTACAATAAATTGATAATAGAAAATATGAAAGAAACTGGTGAAGTGCAAGCAGATCGAGATTTATAGATAAATCCTAAAACCACAATCTGGTAAAAAAATATCATAAGGCTGTTAGTAATAACAAATATGTATTGTTGTAGGGCTTCTCACAATAAAGAAATAGGTAGGATAGTATCGATAATAGTAATTAAGGTGAGTTTTTATTTTATAAAATACATAAATGTACTTATATTATTTTTCTTTAGAAAAGCAAGATTGAGAATAAGTATATAACCCCAAAGACCAGTACTGCGGTTTTATCTCCTCATTTATGGGTGTACTAGTTGAAGCCTGGCGCATCCGCCACGACAGCGACATCAGGAAAAAAATACTTATTAATTTTTTTTAATTAAACAAAAAATCCGGCGACGATAGTTTTTAGAAGAGCCAATTAGCTATCTTTTAGTAAAAAGCAACTTTCTAGAGCAAGTCGCTACTTCAGTAGAGACGACACAGATAAACATTAGCATTTTATATAGATATGTAGGTACTTTTTTTTAGGTACTTTTTATGATTTTAGATATACTTTTGTCTTGATTAATAATAAATTAAGAGCACCTATAATAATTGTTACATTAACACATATGTACAAATTTTTTAATAAAAAAAATAAATATAAAACAATTTTGTCATATTACTTTTATTTTTAAGAACTCAAAGTGATGGAACTTCAAAAAAACCAGGAAAAAATAAAGGAAAAATATTGTGTAAACAAAGTTGATATTAATAAACCTAACAGTAAAAAAGTTGAACTAACTGGTATTCAAAGGGGGTGTTTTAAAAAGGTTTAGCTAGAAAGTTACTTAAAAAACAGCATGAAGAAGAGATGTATAAAGTATAAGGTACATAGTGCAAGAAATTAAATTAAAATTGTAACACAAAAGAAATAAAAGCAAATGTGAATTGAATAACAGGTTTTCTAAGGTTCCTGTTGTAATATTAATGAATTAAGATATGAGAATTAAAAATGAAATAAATAGTTTGATTTAAAAAGTTTTATTTATTTTTTACCTACTTTAGAGCTTTATTAAGTACGTAATGGTTTTTAATTGAAGGGATTTAAGTAAAATAATTTATTTTGTATAAATTGCCGTTGAGTTATATTTTTACTCGGTAATTGTACATATTTCATCATTATTACCCTGACTTAATGCATTCTCTTCATTCTGATGCTCTAGCAGAGGCTCCTTTTATTTTGTAACACTCCTTATAAAGTCCGGCACCAGCAATAATAGCTTTTTGCACCATTTCAATGTGTTTATTAGTGTTTATACCTCATACGTTCTAAAATGGTTATAGTCTACATACTCAGAATAGGTAAGTCTTTTCGAAATAATCTAAAATCGAATTTATTGAAATAAACGAAATACAATAGTAACAATGTCTTAGGTTATGTTAAGCAATTTTATTAAATTAAATCAAAATCTCCTCATGTGTCAAATTTTTATCCGACAAATAAAGCGATATTTGGCAGTTCAGGTCCCAAATAGGATATCTGACGGATAAGGATATTTTATCTAATAGATATTGGTATCTGTAGGTGAAGATACACTTTTTTCTGCTATCCATCAAATAAAGTATATCTGGCGGATTATAACGCGCTATCTATACTTGAAAACACCGGGGGTAAGCATATAAATTAACAATTTAAGTAAATTTGATTTAAATATACAAAATTATCAATATAATAAATTTTATTATAATTTATTATTAAATTTTCAAATACTTTTTATCTAAAACATATGTATAAACAAATTAATCCCCACTCAATAAAGAAATCCTAATTATATCTTATGTTGGATCATATTAATTTCTTAATCTCAACTAAACCCAATTATTTACATTAGATATATAAGTTTAATTTACTTTAAATTACTAATTTTATTTATATACATATGCAAAAACACGGAATAAACGCCTTTATACATATTTGATATTTTGGGAGTCGTTTTCAGAAGCTTGAAAATATGTTTAAAAATTTATGAGACTAGGTGCATGCGAGTGCTATAAGGCTTTATACATTTTTTATGCGCTTTAGATTGAGCTTTTTATAAAGTGTAGCAATGCAGGGTTACTTTAGGATACTTCATGTACTAAGCTGTTCTTTTGTTGAAAATAATTAGATCCAAGTATAATAAATAAAATTATAAACACTAAATAGACTGATTTTTACAGAGAAATTGCAATAAAGATTTAAATAAAATGGTGTGTGAATTAGCTACGGATAATTTCTGATTTCTCGTTCCTGATTAAAAAACCATTTTGCAACAAATAACTTAATAAAAAAAAGCTGTTTAGTGCAAAATTTTTGTAGATGACTATATATTTTAAACACATTTTATTCAATTTAATAGGTACTACCTTTGGGTACTACTAATAAAAATTATTTTATTATGGTTTTAAAATGTAATATATTATATTTAATAAATTAAAAAGTCTCTCCTATATACTAGCATGCCTAAAAAGCTTAGTTCTTGAAATATCAGAAAAAACAATATATATATACAGGGTGAGTTTCCTACGATGTTCACTATGGGTATCTCGGAAACTACTGGAGATAGAAGGTCGATTAAATGGGGAAAGAATTGCAGTTTTGTGGGGTCATAAATATGCGCTTTTGAGATTTTTGAAAAAGTTCATGGCTTACTAGATATTTCGAAAAAAACAAATTTCGGCTATTTTAAAAATTGTCCCTAATTCCATTATAAGCTATTTTAGACAAAAAGTTTTCAGATAAAAGTTGTAGATAATCACATTCTTAACGACACCGTTTCCTCCGTTTTTTTCTAAAGCCTATCATCTTTGACATATGACACAAACATAGATTTTTTTAAATGGAAACCATAGTTGGCCATGACTTCATAAAAAGTGCCATTTTTTAAGCTTTTTTTTAAGCTTTAGCTTTTTTTTTAAGAGTTATAGCCAATTCTTATCATTTTTAAACAATTTCACTTAGTTAGCCATGGAAACAAGTTCAATCGCCGTTGCTCTCAGAAATGTGAAGCTGCCACATCTAAAGTTTGTAAATTAAAATAAACAAAAATTGTAAATATGAATTTTTCAAATGAAGAAAAGCGTGTAGATACTCGCGCATGAATAGAGTGGTTCCAACATGACTTTCATTATGACACCACCCCCCACCCCTCATAATGAAAGAAATGTTAAAAATTATTTATATCATACTTACAAACGCAGGGATAGAAAGAGGTGGACTAATTGCATGGGCCTCCTCGATTACCTGACCTATCCATTTTAAAATTTTTATGCGGTATAGTTAACAATAAGGTTTACAAAAGAACTTATGAATTAAGAGAGGCACTCGAAGTGGCGGTACGAGAAAAGTTTAATTAAGTCGACCGGTCCTTCTGTGAGAATAGGTAGTAATTCAGTTTTAAAAAGATGCAACTCAAAACAATGACTGATTTTTTGAACATTTTCTAAAATAACTTAAAGTGTATGTAGTGATATTATTTTTTTAAATTTTAGTTTGTGTAATGTAAATTATAAAGAACCGTTTAGTAATATATTCTGACTTTTTATAAGTTATAAATTATATCAGAATAAGAATACCATGCAATCTAAGTGAAATTAGTCATGAAAGATAAGAATTGGCTATAACTAAATTTAACTTTTCTAACATGTCTTGAAAACCGTTCTCTAACAAACGTAACATTCACCGGTCAACGTATCCTCGAAAATGTATGGCCAAGAAAAGTTCAAGCAATAATCCTACACGCTTTTCTTCATTTGCAAAATTAAATTTACAATTTTTGTTTATTTTAACTTACAAAGTTTGGATGTGACAGCTTCACATTTATGAGAGCAACGACGATTGAACTTGTTTCCATGGCTAACTAAGTGAAATTGTTTAAAAATGATAAATGATTTTGTGAAAAAAAGCATATTATAGCTTATATCGCTGGAAAGCTTAAATAATGGCCCTTTTTATGAAGTCATGGCCAACTATGGTCTCCATTTACAAAAACATATGTCTGTGTCATATGTCAAAAATGACAGGCCTTAGAAAAAAATGGAGAACACAGTCTCATTAAGGATGTGATTATCTACAACTTTTATCTGAAAACTTTTTGTCTAAAATAGCTTATAATGGAATTAGGGACAATTTTTAAAATAGCCGAAATTTGTTTTTTTTGGAAATATCTAGTAAGCCATGAACTTTTTCAAAAATCTGAAAGGCGCATATTTATGACCCCACAAAACTGCAATTCTTTCCCCATCTAACCGACTCTCTATCTCCAGTAGTTTCCGAGATACCCATAGAGAACATCGTAGGAAACTCACCCTGTATATATATATATATATATATATATATATATATATATATATATATATATATATATTTAAATCGACGGAGTCAGACCCGGTACGTTGAAGATAGGCCGTCAGACCGGGGTATATCGGACGAAAAATGTTCAAGCGATGCCTTCAGGCCCTGATGCTGGACCGTTTAATTTGTCCCATTTATATAAAAATAGAGGTTTATTCGTTTTCGCCAGACCCACGACGTTGCCGCTTTTAATTCTCAAATATTTATATTAGAATTAGACGAACGGACCTTTTGACGCGGTAATTGCTCACAGTGCAGAAGTAAAAACGGTGCATTTCTGCTATAGTGAATATTATTGTACTTATTGTTAGTATTAGATATATTCTGTCTTATAAATGCAACTGTACGAAAACGTTTTTATCTGAAATTTCTTTGTAATAAGCATAATCAAGTTATAATGCATTATCAATTTCGTTTAGTAGATTTTGTAAGTGTTTACTAAGTGATGATGGAGAACCCCGTTTATTATCTTTATACTTTAAAAGAAAAAAAGTTTAGCTACTTCTACAACGAAATCATACCATCGAAATAAATTTTTAGATACTCGTACAATTTTTTGACACGACGATCGATTCCGACGACTGTCATTTCTAAGGTAATTTGACGCCGTGTTTTGGAATCATAGGGTATGTGTGTATTTATCATTAACCTTTTTTCTATTTTGTTATAAAGAATTATTTTAACTTATTTTTTTATTACATACAGATATGAGGGCGGCAATTTAAAAATTTGCACTGTGGGCAAGACGGGTAGAAAAAAGATGCTCATTTAGAATATTAAGAAATTCAGACAAAAAAATGAAAATAAGCATTCTTTAAAGATTGTTTCTACTAGTTTAATTTAAAAATATTAATAATATAAGGTCTAATCTGGCGAGTTGAGTTTGGATGAGACTGTAAACAAAATTTTTAAAAGTATAAATGTAATAATTTAAATTTTCTGCGTCTGATAAAATTCATGTAGCAGTAAAGTAGGAAAAAAGTGTAGGTTTAAAAGCATCAATTTCTGGGAATTTCATATTTGTAGAGGCTAGGAACCACCTACTTTTCTGGGAACCCCATACTTTCAAGTTTAAATTATTAGAACTGTGATTAAAACAAATCACTATTTTCATTAATATTGCAATCAATGAATAATAAGAATATTATATTATCAAATATTACTCTAATTAAATTTTCGAATACAAAGTATAAGAAGATAAAACATATTATAGAGATGCAACTATAAAACGTGTTTGTCATATTTACATGGTGTTGGTAGATAGCATCCAGCCGTAAAGTGAATATACAACGTACCTATTACTGTAGTGTGTAGTCACAGTTTAAAGAATACGTGTAGCCGTCAAAATTTTTGTTTCACTGAAATTACTATTTTAGATCTCACTGAACGAAATAATGCAATAAAATTAATTATTGTGAAATAACTGAATTCTATCATATTTATGATCGAAAAAAAACCGGCGTCAGCGATGGCTATGAAATGAAAATTGCTGTCATTTTATATGTAAAATTATATGGTGAATGTCATCGATCGTCATTTCCAAGCCAACTGGACGCCGCTTTTTTTCGATCATACGGTACCTTTTTGTTTAAACTTTTTCCTGTGGGGAGAAATATCATACAAAACGGCCTTATCGTACAGTCACTATCATATATACGATGATCGTAATTATTTTGATGTAATTACTTCAACAATGAAATCATACCACCGAAATAAATCTTTAGGTACTCGTACAATTCTTTGACCCGTCGATCGATTTAGATGAAAAAAATCTTTAAGTACTTCTATAACGTAATCATAGCACGAAATAAATTTTTAGGTACTCGTACAATTCTTTGAAACGACTATCAATTTAGACGAAAAAAAACTTTAGGTACTACTACAACGAAATCATAGTACCGAGATAAATTTTTGGGTACTCGTACAATTTTTCGACACAATGATCGATTAAGATGAAAAAGAACTTTAGGTACTTCTGTATATGTATAACCATATGCGAAAATGTCAAAAATTGACATATTATGATGTCATTCTATTGAGGGTGCATCCACACTATCCTAAAAACGGCGTATCGGCGTACCGGCGTAACGACCTTGAATAGATTTCCAGTAATTCTATTGGTTGAAAAATTCATCTGTCAGAAATTTTATCTGTCAAATTCATCTGTCAAAAATTTCAGCTAATAGAATTACTGGAAATCGATTCAAGGTCGTTACACTCCGTTACCTATTTTAGGATAGTGTGGATGCCTCAGAAAGTAATTTTGTATGGAATAATGTCAAAACAAATACGACGACTGATTTAAACGAAAAAAATTTAGGTACTACTACAGCGAAATCATAGTACCGAAATAAATTTCTAGGTATTTCTACGTACAATTCTTTGATACGACGATCTGTTTTCTGAGACGAAAAGCATTTTTAGGTACTTTTACGTAAATTTCTAGGTAATTTTTGACCCATCGATCGATTTAGATGAAAAAATCTTTAGGTACTTCTGTAACGAAATCATAGCACGAAATAAATTTTTAGGTACTCGTACAATTTTTTGACACGGTGATCGATTTAGATGAAAAAAACTTTAGATACTCGTACAATTTTTTGACACGACGATCGATTCTGACGATTGTCATTTCAAAGGTAATTTGACGCCGTTTTTTGGAATCATATATATGCCATGTGTATACTTATCTAATAAGTAAAGTGTATTCATTTAGAATATTAAGAGATTCAGACGAAAAAAATCAAAATAGGTAGTAAGTATTCTTTAAGATTGTTTCTACAAGTTATATTTAAAAATTGTAACAGAGAACTATTATTATTATAGGGCCCCTCTCGGACCGCTTGGACGAGTCCATTATAAAAAAGATCGAGGGACAGTAGGTAGAAAAAACATGATTTGGTTTATCACGGAAACGTAAAGTTTAATAAAAGTGTTTTGTTGAAATTCTTCGAGTTTTATCATAAAGTTTATGGTTCGACACCCAACAAAATAATTGTAACGAATCCCCGTCACAAAATATAAATAATTTAAAGTCTAATCTGGCGAGTTGAGTTTGGATGAAACTGTAAACAAAATGTTTAAAAGTGTAATGTAATCATTTAAATAAAATTCGTATAGCAGTAAAGTAGTAAAAAAAGTGTAGGTTTAAAAGCATGAACTTCTGGGAATTCCCTATTTGTATAGTCTGGGAACCACCTACTTTTCTGGGAAACATACTTTCAAGTTCAATTTATTAGAATTGTGATTAAAAGAAAGCACTATTCTCATTCATATTGCGATTAATGAATATTAATATTAATAATATACTACCATATATTACACAAATTAAGTTTTCGAATACATAGTAAGTAAACATAGATAGAAGATAGAACATATTATAGAGATGCAACCATAGAACGTGTTTGTTATATTTATATGGTGTTGGTAGATAGCATCCAACCGTAAACTGAATATACAACGTATCACTGTAGCAATCAACATTTTTGTTACACTAAAATTACTATTTAAGATCTTAGTCAACGTAGTAATGTAATAAAATTAATTATTGTACTGATTAACTACCATATAATCGAAAAAAAAACGGCGTCAGCGGTGGCATGAAATGAAGATTGCTGTCATTTTATACCGGGTGCGTCTCAAAAGTGGCTCACCGCTATAACTTTTTAATTTTTTTTAGATAAAAAAACGAGGTTTGGTATGTAAGTATATGACATAAATTAGGAATTATTGACGTATTCAATTGTTTTTGGTCACTTCCTGTTTCACAGGAAATGACTACAACTTTTGATTTTTAAATGACATCCCCGGTATGTTTTTGCATTATTTGATAGAAAATGATACTCTGAATCGAATGACATATCTCGCTTTAAAAAAATTGTATTTTAAATTTCAATCTAGAGTGCCATGGCTGTGTTAAAAACGCTAATTTTTAATCAAGGAGCCTTGGAAAAATAGATTTGATAATCTAATGATTTTCGTGTCTTGTCCGGGCCCGTTCTTATAAGATGCCCAAATCGTATTTTTAATCATATCTCAATTTTTAAAAACGGAACAAGAGAGGCTCGTTAGCATATTTGAAAAAAGCATTTTTTACGAATAATTTGGTACCACACACATGGTATTTCGAGTCAAATTGTCATTATGAACCGCATGTTACAATTTCAAATAAACCATATGCGAAAATGTAAAAAAATGACATATGATATGTCATTCTATTGAGGGTGCATCCACACTATCCTAAAAACGGCGTATCGGCGTAACGGCATAACGACCTTGAATATATTTCCAGTAATTCTATTGGCGGATGCGTTTCAAAAGTGGTCCACCGCTATATCTTTTTTATTTATTTTTTTTGGATAAAAAAACGAGATTTGGTATATTAGTATATGACATAAATTGGAATTGATTGACGTATTCAATTGTTTTTGGTCACTTCCAGTTTCACCGGAAATGACTACAACTTTTGATTATTAAATGACACCCCCGGTATGTTTTTACATTATTCGATAGAAAATGACACTCTGAATAGAATAATATACCTATCATATGTCAACTTTTGACATTTTCGCTTAAAAAAATAGTATTTTAAATTTCTATCTATTATAGAGTGCCATGGATGTGTTAAAAACACTAATTTTTAATCAAGGAGCCTTGGAAAAATAGATTTGATAGTCTAATGATTTTCGTGTCTTGTCCGGGCCCGTTATAAGATATCAAAATTGAATTTTTAATCATATCTCAATTTTTTCAAACGGAACAAAGGTGGCTCGTTAACATATTTGGAAAAAGCATTTTTCTACGAATAATTTGGTACCACAATTTGGTACTCGAGTCAAATTGTCATTATGAACCGCATGTTACAAATAAATCATATGTGAAAATGTCAAAAATTGACAAATTTATGATATGCCATTCTATTCAGTGTGATTTTCTATCGAATAATGTAAAAATATACCGGGGGTGCCATTTAAAAATCAAAAGTTGTAGTAATTTCCGGTGAAACAGGAAGTGACCAAAAACAATTGAATACGTCAAATCAATCCTAATTTATGTTATATACTAACATACCAAAACTCGTTTTTTTATCTGACAAAATAAAAAAAGTTGTAGGGGTGAGCTACTTTTGAGACGCACCCGGTATACGACGATCGATTTAAATGAAAATAATTTTTAAATACTTCTACAACGATGTCATAGTATCGAAATAAATTTCTAGGCACTCGTACATTTTTTTGACACGACGATCGATTTAGACGAAAAAATTTTAGGTACTTCTACAGCGAAATCACAGCATCGAAATAATTTTGTAGTTACTCCTACAATTCTTTGACACAACGCAACGATCGCTGATCGATTTAGATGAAAAAAAAATTAGGTACTTCTACAACGAAATCATAGCATCGAAGTAAATTTGTAGGTACTCGTACAATTTTTGACCCGCCGATCGAAATAATTTTGTTTCTAGTATTTATTAGCCGAACGACCGGTTTCGACAATAAAAGTTTAGTTACTTCTACAAATCCGGTGACGACAGCAATTCAAAAAAAAGATTAGACCGTAAATTATTGATATTTTTAAATGAAACTAGTAGGAATAATTTTTAAAGAATACTTATTTTCATTTTTTTTCGTCTGAATTTCTTAATATTCTAATTAGAGTATGAGCATTTTGTTTTCTACCAAATATAACACGGCTATATCTTCGTTTCCCTTTAATAGTTTGCTTTACCGTGTTGCCGGTTCTTGGGTCTGAATACATCGATTCAACGTAAATCGGCTTATACACTTATACTAATGTCGAAGGTGGCGCCGCCCGTGACAATACCGGTGTACCCCCAATCGTATATAAAAAACGTAAAACCATTTTTTTTCAGGCCCAGCTGAAATTTGGTCAGGGGAAGTGGAAACCGTTCTAGACGATAACCACTGAAATGAAGCAACGTAGTTTTTGGGCTATATAAGCTGATTTAATAAATCTATATATATATATATATATATATATATATATATATATATATATATATATATATATATATATATATATATATACAGTGGGTGTCTCTTAGTTATAGAACTTGGAAAAATAAAACAAAAGTTCATATCAACTTGTAAGATTTAAAGCTTCCTTTTCGAGATACAGGTACCATTAGAATACCAATTATAATATTAATTACCAATTAGAATTTAATTTTTTCGCAAGAAGTAAGCAAGATAGACAAAAAGTCAGGAGACAAAAAAATAATATTTTTAATTACTAAATCCAAAAATAATATTAAACGTCTAAAAAAGCAGTGGCGTGCCTATTTTTTCCTTTAAAATAATTTAACAGTGATGCCCCACCGCCGCCCCTGGCCATTAAACTTAAATCTAATTACATCAAATTAAGTCCCATAGTCTTTAGATACAGAATGGCCCCGGCCTTAGATACAGAATGGTGAAGTGCTATGTCTGGTCCGTTTTGTTATATGGTGTGGAAGCATGGACACTGCAGGTAGCAACAATAAACAGAATTGAAGCCTTCGAAATGTGGACCCTACGACGAATGCTAAGAGTGCCCTGGGTCGACCGTGTTAGGAATGAAGACATTCTCAGAAGAGCTGGTCTGGAACAACGTGAACTCTTCGAAATCATCAAGAAGAGGAAAATAGCCTATTTGGGACACATACTACGTGGAGAACGCTATCACTTTCAGCGTCTGATTCTCCCGGGTAAAATAGAGGGGGGCAAAAGGGGGATAGGACGAAGGAAGCTATCCTGGCTGAGAAATATTCGTCATTGAACAGGCATACAGGACTTCCAAGCACTCCAAGTCGCGGCAGTTAACAGAACCATCTGATGAGGAAGAAAAAGATGAACGCCTACGCAGGAATCTGCACTGCACCTTAAGAAGAAGAAGTCCCATAGTAAGTATTATAAACGGGTCAAGTTATATCCAAATCGATTAAATAGTTTTTCAAATATCTTAATTTTTTTTTTTTTTAAGTAACTTTAACACCATGTATCTCGAAAAGGAAGCTTTTTTTTTATTACAAGTTGATATGAACTTTTTGTTTCATTTTTGCAAGTTCTATCGTCTATTAAATTTTCCCGATTAAAATCTGAGACACCATGTATAATTTGTTTCAATCATCATCTGTTGAACAGTAACGGATACTTTTTATATGGCATAGAAAATTTGCAATAATTTGCTGGTTGTTAGACACTTGGCATTTAAAGTAGACCGCTTTTTAAATAAATTTAAATAACATCTCACTTTCAAACAAAGAAATACGGTTTTCAATTATATATTTTTATTCTGGAACAGTATACCTAAAAAAATATACAATTTACTTTTACTTTCTTTCGAAGATTTTTTTCAGGTCCCAAATAGGATATCTGACGGATAAGGATATTTTATCTAATAGATATTGGTATCTATAGGTGAAGATACACTTTTTTCTGCTATCCATCAAATAAAATATATCTGGCGGATTATAACGCGCTATCTATACCTGAAAACACCGGGGGTAAGCATATAAATTAACAATTTAAGTAAATTTGATTTAAATATACAAAATTATGAATATAATAAATTTTATTATAATTTATTATTAAATTTTCAAATACTTTTTATCTAAAATATATAAACAAATTAATCCCCACTCAATAAAGAAATCCTAATCATATAAGACAAAAAACATTTAAATAAACAGCAATATATTTTATACGTCGACTTGACGAGTACGTCACCGCAAATCGCTCCGCCCACTCATCTTATTAGCTACTTACAAATTTGTCGAATTTTTATTGATGGGACGCGTCGTCTAATTTTTTACGAAAAACATCGAGAGAATATCGTTTCCCCTCTCACGAATACCCCGTAGCTACAGAACGGACAGTCGTACTGTATATTTACTTTTCACATATTTTTTATGTAATTCAAAAGATATTTAACTAAATATAAAGTTTCACCAAGTAAAAAAAAATATAAAGATGGTACTTACAAGCTTTTACTTTTAAAACATTTCACAGAGATGCTCTTAAAAGAAAAGTATTTTATTTTTAGAAACGTAATGCATCTTTTATGTTTGTATCTGCAGCCGTGTATTATTTACTACCTGAAATTACTCGAGGGTATTCTGGTTAAAAGCCGAGACAAATTCACTTTTCATATTATATTTATAACAATTATAAAAATATTATAAAAATTAATTATAATTATTTAATTTTTTATTATAATTATAAAATAGTTTCTACAAATATCTAGGTAAATTATTAATTCAGCTGTTTTTTATACAGGTCAACAACTGTTTTTCCGGAATACAGTTCGGACCTGGAACTGTATTCCGGATACTTTGGCAGTATATTCTGTAGATAAAAATAAGAAAAAAAGTTTGTATAAATGTATGTCCTAAAATGCTTAGTTTCGGAGATACACAGTGTAGAAGTTTCATTTTTATTTCGATTTTTTCCAAATAATTTCTGAAGTACCGTCAATATCTAAATGAAAATTTGATTTTGATGTCAACATGATGCCACGCCCTTTCTAATTTGAAGTTCAATAAAACACAAGTTTACTTAATTAGGATGAGTTGCATAGAGGCCACTAGCTTTTTAATTTTAACAGCCGGGTGGTCAGGGTTCAAAGATATTAATAAAACGAGATTATACTCTATGAACTCGGCATAAAAGATGTTACTATTAAGTAGACTTCAACACTAACCTCGAACTGTTGAGTGTAACTACCATGAACTTCAAATATACTATAATTACTTGAACTTAAGTGACTCTAACTTAACTATGAGACTAGACTGTAAATAATACTACTAAAAATATTTAAGCAATTTATTAAAATATTAAAAGTTAAATATGAATGTAAATGACTGAAAATGTAAGTTATATCAGTATGTAAATCAATAAGAACTAAACCTATGACGTCAAACCCCCTTAGCTAACTTATACTAGATACAGTCAGGGTGGTTTATAAATAGCAAATCTAAATCTAAACAGTCTTACTCTAATGGATATACAATCTTGAAACAACTCGGAAGTTCCTCCGGCTGAGCTACGGTGTATAGCTATGGGGTGGCTACAGCAGGGTACAGCAGCTCGGTGTACTGTCACTGGAGCCCACGGATGTCAGCAGACGTACAGATGAAAGGCAAGTTGTTGTTGCTAAATAATATTGGTTGTCTTAGAAAAGAGCCTCAATTATAGAACAAGGACTAGCACAACGTGTAGAAGTTAATAAAGGTAATAAAGAAGGACTAATCAAATCTGAACTTTACCTCAACGAGGGTTTATGATGTCCAACGGGTAACTCTACACACGGGCAACAGGAACGGATGGAATTCTAGACTGTTCTGTGCTGTACGGTCTGGATCGGTCTTCTTGCTCTACAATTACGAACAACCAAATAAGACTTAAGAAAGATAACACTCAACTAATCTTTCTACACCACGTGGGCGTGTAAAAGTCGAAAACCAGACAACAACATGAACAAAAATCAGTTGAGCATTGACTTAGAATAGGCAGAAGAATTATAGCATACCTTGGAACTGTTCGGGGACTTCTTGGGCACGTGGAATCGGAATATCAGTCGGAAAAAGGTTATTTTAATCCCATTATGGAAACTGGTCGGTGGTCCATGTAAATCCCACAAAATACAACCACATCTCTGACCAAATGTGTTCCGGAAGACTTAATCCTTCACTAGGAAGACCTGCTAATCACCAACAGGGAATGCTTCACGGAACGGCAGCCAGTTCTTCACGACGACACTCTTCAGCCGGGGAGTACACAAGAAGTGATGAAAGGATTCGATTTCCTTCACAAAATCAGATTTCAACCGGAAATCTCCCTCCAGGATATAGATAGAGAACTATATATCTTGAATAGTCCAACTCACAAAAAGACTTAAATAAAAAATGATGTTTTCTCCTCAGCCATATTCCATATCCGGTCAACGAACGAACTAAACTCAGAAATTCCACAATTAAAAGAACGAATTGCACACTGCGATCCACATCAAAAATAACCAATTTAACTACGAAATTTTATCTGATAATTATAAAATTTCAAGAACCAAAACAAAGGATGGTAACATTTGGGCTCTGCGGTGGAACACTAAATTCACCTATTTTATTAATAAATACATACCTAGGCTTCAATATTAGTGTATATAAGTTATTATAATTTGTTTCTGTACCAAATAAACAATATTTTGTTTAAAAAATATATTTAATATGGTTAATAATTATCAAATAAACACATAATAAACATGAACGGCCTTCAAATATTTCAACTGTCGCCGATTCTGACACAGAAATTATGGTGCAATGTTGCCGGTTTTGTTTTTAATTTATACTACCTTTTTCCTAACGATTTTATTAAACCCTTGGTAATATTATTTTTTTGTTATCATTTAATTTATTTATAACTATAATATGTTAATAACATATTTAATAAATATTATTGAAGAAGGAAAAGTTGGGTTGCCTATAATATTTAGAAAGAGAATAATCGATAATTCATTGTAAAAAATCTATTGGTATTGAGTTGTTTAACAATTAAAGAGTTGGGGTATTTGAAGATATTTTTAATTAGAGAGCTGGTACATTTGAATCTCTAGAAATATATACCGTATGATCGAAAAAAAACGGCGTCAGCGATGGCTATGAAATGAAGATCGCTGTCATTTTATATATAAATTTATATGGGAAATGTCATCGATCGTCATTTCGCAGCCAACTGGACGCCGGCGCCGTTTTTTTTCGATCATAGGGTAGTATTATAATATAAATTGGAAAACAATATTTGTAATGTAAAAAAAAGATTATTCGCCATTTTTAATTATAATAAACAATAATAATGAC